GCTCTAGGGAAGAGTCCTTGCTTGCCGGTAGCCCTGGGAGTTCCTTGGCATTCCTTGGCTTGTAGAGGGATCTTCACATGGCATCTGTCTTCCCTCTACGTGTCTATGTCTATTCTGCTCTTTTTATAAGAGACCACTCAGAAGGGATTAGGTTTAGGATCCACTCTACTCCAGTATGACCTCATTAACATAACAAAAGAAAACTTCTATTTCCAAACAGGGCACAATTCAATCCATAACAGTGTGTGAACTTGGGCAAATTACTTACCTTCTCTGTTCTTCACTTTCCTCATCTGGAAAAGGGGGTGAATAACGGAGTGTTGTGCAGCAACATAGTAAGCACTAAATATTAGCTCTTACATCTTTCTTTTCCTTTTCTTTTTTTTGCTTCAAAAGCAGAAAAGATTTTTGTATATTGTATTTCCTTTCCCAAACATAGCCAATTTCCCTAACTGTTGTCACTTCAAGAGTAAAGAGTCAGCAATCAAATAACAATTGATGGAAAATATAGAGGACCCAGAAACATGATAAAGTGTACATGGGGTTGTAATCAGCAGCAGCCAGACTATGAGAAACTGTACAGGACAAGCAACCGGGTTTCTTCAACAAATAAATTCCAAGGCAGGAAAAAAAAGAGAAGATGGTGGAAGAACCTAGCATATACATTATAAGAGACTTAAGACACAAATTTATCAACTGCAGTGTGGACTTTATTTGAATACTGATTTTAAAAACTGTAAAGAAATTGGAAATTTGAACACTAACAGGGTATTTTACATTAAGGAATAATTTTTAATTTTTCGGGTGTTTTGTTAGGTTTTCCACTGTCTTCACTTCAAGAGTACAAAAAACAAAACAAACCCGTTGCCCTCGAGTCGATTCTGACTCATAACAACCCTACAGAACAGAGTAGAGCTGCCCCATAGGGTTTCCCAGGAGTGGTGAACCACTGACCTTTTGGTTAGCAGCCGTAGCTCTTAACAACTGCGCCACCAGGGATCCTACTTTAAGAGTAAAGAGTTGAAAATTATCCAAAAGATGATTTATAAATAGAAATTAATATTAATGAATGATATGATAGGTAGAATTTTGTTATATTTCATTATACTTTTTTTTCCACATAGACATTTACATCTATATTTTTGTAGTTGAGATCATGTTTTAAGTGCAGCTTGGTACTGGAGCAAATTTTTTTTTAGTAAAGCAAAAAGAAAGTTTTATTCGGCATATATTCAAAGAGGCAAAAGTAGGAAGCCGACAAGCATGCTGCCAGAGCCATGTCTGCCTGAATCCGAGAATAATATTACAGAATAGACAAAATGGGAAAACAGACAAGCATGCTGCCACAGCTATATCTGCCCTGAGTTCAGAGACCATTACAGAGTCATCAGTATATATTAACATTACAAATGGGCAAAATGACTGAAAGCTTCACCTTTTCACAGATTGGCCAGAAACTGTGATCCTACATTTTGAATCACCTTCCTTAACAATCATTGGTACACGTTTCAGTAAGGACAGTCAGGAGAGTCTTCATTGGTCCAACAAATTTTCTATTCACTAAATGCTAATAGAAAAAGAGTGGAAAGTCTTTTGTGTTCTGGTTGATTGGCTTATGTGAAAGATTCCCTGAAAGATATTTTCCAAGATTATCCTAGCTATTGTCTTTATACCTCAGGGTCCAGTTGATGTGTCCTTGTGAGCCCAGCTCCAGCTAGGTCACATTCTCTATGCTCAAGGACAGAGAATAATGATTCCAACGTTATTTCCTAAATCATTCCCTCCTGATCGGAGATTGGAGATAACACATCTATGATCAATACCTGAACTTAGCTGAGCTCCTAGATGGCCACCATGGCAAGTTCTTTAAACTCACGGTGCTGGTTTTCCACTGGATACCATCTGGTTCTTCACCAGGATCTTAAAAGCAATGTTCTCATCACATCAACATTTTAACCCGAGGCCTTCTTTTCCTTTTAAGTGTGTAAGACAATAGAAGACACATTTTATTATGCCTAATACTATCAGGATGTAGACTAAGAATATTACTATTCCTTGCAATAGTGCTCTAGTCCATGTACTTATTCCTGATGGTAACCAACAAATAAATCTGGTGTTTGTAAGGGTGTTACAGCTTGTAACCAAGTAGCTTGCTGTCCAATTCTATGTATATCTTGTCTATAGCACAGACTACACTTTCTTGGACTAGTAAAATAATCTCAGGCTATTTTGTTATCTCATGTCACCTTGGCTTATGAGATCAGAGATCGCTGTTGTGCTTCCATCCCATTAGCAACTTCATCTGTTATTTGTCCCATAGTGATTGATAAATTTCTTAAAGCTTTCTCCACTTCAAATATACCATAAGTAGGAATTAAACTGGAGCAATACTTCTCAAAAGTTTAAAGTAATAACCAAGGCAATGCTTATGTATTAGGAGGTTGAGGGGCCCTGGGATAGTAATGCCACCTACTGAACACCAAACCAGGACACTTTTGAAAGCGTAAGGTTAACAAGAGCTGTAAACCTGGATTGCCCTAAAGAGGAGAGGTGGTCATAATAATTTTTTAACAACTGCATCCTGATACACTTATTTGTTTGATTTTTAAAGTAACAAAGATGTATTTGGTAAATCAGAGGAGTAAATTAAACTCTTACTATCTCTAAAAATTACTCAAATAGCTCATCTTCCCGGAGCCCTGGTGGTGCAGTGGTTAAGAGCTTGGCTGCTAACCAAAAGGTCGGCAGTTCCAATCCACCAGCAGCTCCATGGAAACCATACGGGGCAGTTCTACTCTGTCCTATAGGATCGCGATGAGTCGGAATCACTCGACGGCAACGGCTTTTCTCATCTTCCACAAAGTTTTTCTAGATTCCCCTTTTCCGTGTCCTGGGCTTAATGCCTCTCTTTGTAGCTCTAGGGCAGTGGCTCTCAGTTAGGGGACCTCACTGAGACCTCTGGCAGAGTCTAGTCGCTATAAGTCGGAATCCACTCGATTGCGGGGCGGGAAGGTTGATCTGGAGATGGGCTCCGTTGTGACAGTTGTGGGGTGCTACTGCCATCTAGTGGGTAGAGGCAAGGATGAGGCTTAACATCTGAAAATGCACATGACAGCACTCCCCTTCACCTCGAACGAAGAATCATCCAGCCCCAAAAGTCAATCTTGCAGAGGTTGAGAAACCCTGCCGTAACGGTGCCTTTGTTACATCACTTCACAAAGACAATTGTAATTGTCAACTAGTTATCTTCCAAGCTAGACTGCAAGTTCCATAAGGACAAATGACGTATGTATCGTGTCCAGTGTTTGGTACTTTAACCAAAAACCAATTCCACTGCCCCGGGGTCGATTGCGACTCATACTGACCCTATAGGACAGAGTAGAACTGCCCTATAGGGTTTCCAAGGCTATAAATCTTTATGGTAGCCAATTGCCACTTCTTTCACCCATGCAGCACCTCTTGTTGCTGTTAGGTGCCTTGAGCGGCTTCCAACTCATAGCGACTCTATGTACAACAGAAAGAAACACTGCCCTGTCCTGCACCATCCTCACAACCATTCTTATGCTTGAACCCCTTGTTACAGCCACTGTGTCAATCCATGTCCTTGAGGGTCTTCCGCTTTTCGCTGACCCTCTACTAAGCATGATGTCCTTCTCTAGGGACTGGTCCCCCTTGATAACATGTCCAAAGTATGTGAGCAGCTCTTAGTAGACTCTTAATAAGGACTGAAGGAAGGTGGGAAAGTACAGCCAAATTCAGGCTTCGGGCTCTGTGAGTTCACGCTGCCTATTTTCTTGAGCCATTTCCAACCTCATTCACGCAACATTTAATAACATATGTTGGGCACTTACTATGTACCGAGCCCAAGGAACCCTGGTAGCATGGTGGTTAAGACCTTGGCTGCTAACCAAAAGGTTGCCAGCTCGAATCCACCAGCCGCTCTTTGGAAACCCTATGGGGCATTTCTACTCTGTCCTATAGGGTCGCTACGAGTCAGAATCCAGTCGATGGAAACGGGTTTTTGTTGTTGGTTGTTTGTTTTTTACTATGTACTAGCAATGTTTCAGTCACTGGGAATACAGCATTGCTGTGTTAAAAAGGATTCTTCCTGTAATGAAGTTTATTCTTATAGAGGAAGAGAGGAAACAAGATGATTTCAGATAGTGACAAATATTATGAAGAAAATAAAACAGCCCTGGTGGCACAGTGGTTAAAAGCTCGGCTGCTAACCAAAAGATCGGCAGTTGGAATCCACCAGCTGCTCCTTGGAAACCCTATAGGGCAGCTCTATTCTGTCCTATAGGGTCGCTATGACTCGGAATCGACTTGACAGGAATGGGTTCAACGGGTTTAATGCAACAAGGAATGACGGGGCAAGAGGACATACTCTAGATAGGGTGGTTAAGGAGGACATCTCTGAGCAGATGACATTTGAGCTCATGATGCCAATGAGCCAGTCATGGAAAGCTCTAGGCTAGGGGGAAGAGCGATTTCAAGCAAAGGCAAAGCAATTGGAAAGACGCTGAGGCAGAAACAAAGTGAAACATTCAATGAAGAGAAAGAAGACCAGTGTAACTGGAGCAAAGCGGACTACGGGTTGAAGTGAGATGGGGTGGGGGGACGGACTGATCACATATGCCAAGAAAAAGTTTGGATTTTATTGTAACTACAATCGGAAGCCATAACAACCTATTGGACAGTTTTAAGCGGAAGAGTGGTATGTTCCGATTTATGTTTTTAAAAGATCACTCTGGCTTCTTTGAGAGAGTGTACTATATTTAAAGTCTAAAATATTTGTTATAAAATGCTTTCGTTACATTCCTGGCTACCTCCGGCCAAAGGAGAACCCTCCCAGATCCACAAGGGGACGCTCTGGCCGCCAGGTCGACAGAATTAACACTCGGCACTCTTTGGTTCTTTTAGAGAAGCCAGTCACTTCCGGGAGCGGCCTCTCTACCGGAGCCTTCCTCTCTATCGCCGGCGTCTCTGTGGTTGCTGGGGCCCCGCCCGTCCCTGGGCGGTGTGCGCTCTTCGCACTCATCCCCGAACTGAACTTGGGGTGGGAGTGCTGCCGCATCGGTCAGGTCTCGGTCATGGCTGTCCCGGCAGCTGCGCCCGGGGCCGGAGCGAGGTGAGCGGGGCGGCTTGGGGAGGTGAGGGAGGGTCGGTCCGCGGACGATCTGCCCGGGACTCTATGGGGAAGGGGCTATCCAGCCCTAGCCCGCGGTCCTCGAGTCCCCGCCCCGGCTCAAGTGACTTCTGAGAGAGAAGGCATTCTGGGAGGGGCGCCCACCCTCCCCTCCGTGCGAGGCCGCTCTGTGCTGACCCTGGCCTCCTCCCTCGAGCCTTCGCGGAAACATCGGCGATCTCCTGCAGTCCGATTGCGGAGTGTGTGGGATCCTCTCCCTGGTGACTGACATTGTTGTTTTGTTTAAAGAACCTCAGTCATCAGTTCTTGGCACACTGTCTTTGTGAATCAGTGCAAGGTCCCTCTTGTTTATTTTATTATGTTCTCCTTTTCGTTCTTTATTCTCAATTCCATTTCACTCCTCAGAGACCCACTCTGGTGCGTTTAAATGAGTGTCTTTACAGCCCACCTTACTTCAGTTTGTGTATGTGTTACCTTGAAAAATACATGTTGTTGTTAGGTACCATCGAGTGGATTCCGACTCATAGCGACCCAGTGTGACAGAGTAGAACTGCCCCATAGGGTTTCCTAGGCTGTAACCTTTATGGGAACGATCGCAGGTCTTTCTCTGCGGAGCTGCTGAGTGGGTTCGAACTGCCAACCTTTTGGTTACCAGCCTAGCGCTGAACAGTTGTGGTTTTGAATTAATATAAATGACAGTATGCTGTGAATATTTTTAAATCTCTTTTACTCAGCATAGTGTTTTTGAGATAATCCCTGCTAACTGGTTGCCCATTTTTTGAGATAATCCATGCTAACTGGTTGCCCATTGAGTCGATTCTGACTCATGATGACCCCATGTGTTACAGAGTAGAACTGCTCCATAGAGTTTTGACTGTAATCTCTACATAAGCAGATCACCAGGCCTTTTGTGGTACCACTGGGTGGGTTCAAACCTCCAAACTTGAGGTTGGCAGTCAGCACAAACCGTAGTGCCACCCAAGGTCCTTTCATCCATGCTATTGTTATTGTTAGGTGCCCTCGAGTCGATTCCGACTCATAGCGACCCTATGTACCACAGAACAAAACACTGCCAGGTCCTGCACCATCCTCACAATTGTTGTTATGCTTGAGCCCATTGTTGCAGCCACTGTGTCACTCCATCTTGTTGAGGGGCTTCCTCTTTTTCGCTGACCCTGTACTTTACCAAGCATGATGTCATCCATGCTACTGTAAGGTAAATATGCTACTATACATAAATCTAGTTTTAACTTCTGTGTGCTGCGTGTGCTACCCCATGTGCATATACCCCTATAATGAATAAATAAAATCCTATTCATTCCCCTAGTGGTGGACACCTAGATTGCTTTCAGTTTTTTAACCACCACAAACCATACTGTAATGAATATTCTGGCACTTTTCTTTTTGTGGATATGGGTTATCCACCCTCAGGGTAGGATGCTGGGTCATATCTAATTCTGCCAGATTTTTCTCTGAAATGGTCATACCAGTTTATACGTCCTACTAGCAGTGCACAAAGGTTTCTGTTTCCTTATATCCCTCCAACACTTGGTATTGTTTGGTTTTCTAATTTTTATCAATCTGATGGGTGTAAGGGGTATCCCACTGTGTTAATTTTCATTTCTTATATTTATTAAAATTTGGGTTTTCGTTTTGTGAGTTGCCTGTTCACCTCCTTTCCCACTTTTCTATGCATTTCCTGTCTTTATGACGTATCGGAGTTCCTTGTGTGTTCTAGGTTTTAATCTCTTGTTGCTTTTATATTCTACAAATACCTTTTCCAAGTTTTAACTTAATCTATGGCATTAGGGTGAAGAAAACTACTTTATTCTTATTAAGTTAAATCCATCAGTCTCCCCCACCCCCTTATAGTTTGTAGGTTTGGGGTCTTATTTGAGAAGTTCCTTCCCGCTTCAACATCATTAAAAAACAAAAAAACCTAAACCCACTGTCATGATTCCAACTCATGGCAACCCTATGTGTTAGAGTAGAACTGCTCCATAGGGTTTTTCTTGGCTGTAATGCAGCTGATTGAAAACTGATTTTGCCATCCAGGGATCTTCAACATCATTAAGATATTGTTTATTAAAATATTCTTCTACATTTCCTTCTATTAACTTTTTTGTTTATTGTGCTTTAGGTGAAAGTTTACAGAGCAAATTAGTTTCTCGCTAGATAATTACTGCACAAATTGTTTTGTGACATTGGTTGCCAACCCCTCAATGTTTCAACACTCCCCCCTCCTATTAACTTGATAGTGTTAAAGTCTTACCTTTCCATTTAGATTTTTAATCCATTTGGAGTTTTTAAAGTTTATTTTTTTAAATGGTTTGAGGTCATAACCCAGATTTTCCTCCACCATTTCAATTAATTAATAATTAATTGACAGATGAATGGATAAACAAAACGTGATACAGACTTAATGGAATATCATTCAGCCATAAAGAGAAACGAAGCCCTGATACATGCTACAACGTGGACCAACCTTACAAACGTTATGCTGAGGGAAATAAGTCATACTCAAAAGGACAAATACTGTATGACCCCACTTACATGAAATGTCTAGAATAGACAAATGCGTCGAGACAAAAGTTCATTAGTGGTTACCAGGGACTGGGGGGAGGAGGGCATGGGAGTTATCGCTGAAGGGACCCTGAGTTTCTGTTTGTGGTGATGTAAAACTTTCGGAAATGAATAGTGGTGATGGTAGTACAATGTGGTAAATGTAAGTAATGTCACTGAATTGTATGCTTGAAAACAGTGAAAATGGCAAACTTTATACATATTTTATCACAATAAAATTTAAAATGTAATTAATAACTAGAGAAGCTGTGTAGTATAGTTGTTAAGAGCGCAGATTCTTAGAGCCAGGCTGTACTATGTCAAACCCTAAGGCCACACTTACTAGATGGGTGACAGGACAAGTTACTTAACTTTTTTGCCTCAATTTCCTCATCCTTAAATAAGGATATAGTCTACATCTCTTAGGATTGTGACAGTTAAATGAATTAATACATGTAAAGCACTTAGAACAATACTGAGTACATAGTATGTGCTTAATAAATGCTGGCAATTACTAGTATTAGTATTAAATGTGTCCTTTCTTGGGATGTAACCTCTATTAAATGTGCCTGTATAAACATAGGTCTATTTTTTTGTCTCTGTGTTCCATTGGTCTTTTTGTTCCTGCATTAATACCACACTTTGTTATTACTCTAGCCCTGTAATATGATTTGTCTTAATAACCTGATGGTTTTGAGTCTCTTCCTCCCACTTTCCTGTCCTTTACAACTACCTTAAACTACTTATGCATCTTTATTCTTTCATATAAAGGTCCTTTTTGGGCTTTTGATTGGTATTATATTGAGTTTATAGACTACTTTTGTTAGAATGGAAGTTTTTATAATATTAAGTCATTCCATTTCTGTCTATGTAGGTCTTCTTTCCTAAAAGTTAATTCCTGGATATTTTGTAGCTTTTCTATACTTTTCTTGCTTTTGTAAATGACATCTTATTTTCTTTATGTTTCTAGTTGGTTATTGCCAGTGTGCTGTTGTTAGCTGCAGTCTAGCAGAACACTGCTGATATTTGTATATTAACTTTATCTCTAGCAACACTGCTGATGAACTGCTTTTATTTCCAACAGTTTATCTGTTGATTTGCTTGTTTCCTGTATAACTAATCAAATCAGCTGCAAATAATGATAATTTAATCTCCTCCCTTTTAATTCATTTACCTTATTTCTTTCTCCTGCTTTAGCGAGGACCTTAAAATCCTTGATCAAATGGGCATCTTTGTCTTGTTTGTGACCATAAAGAGGATGAGGCTAAAGTTTCTTCATTAACTATGTTTTGTGCTATAGGTTTTTGGTGGATAATCTTTTACAGCATTTATCAACTTAAAGAATTTCTTTTCTATCCCTGGTCTATTCCCAGCCTACCATCTTCAGCATTAGGAAACCATTGGTGGCCTGGCCCCCAATAGAACAGTGTAGATAAGCCTGATAACTGCTCTCTAAGACTGACCTGCCCTCTTGGGCCTCTTTCTGCTTCTCCTGTTTGTCTTCTTCAGGCCCAGGTTAGATCTGCAATTTCTCCAGCGGTTCCTTCAGATACAGAAGGTTTTGTTTCCCTCTTGGTCATCACAAAATGCCTTGATGTTCCTGACCCTTCTGTGTGTGGTCCTGCTGGGTAAGTGAGCCTAGGCTAGAGTGGGGAGGGCAGCCTGGTTTGGGGTCCCTTTCCATCTCTCTGGGGGTGTTGATGAGGCAGGGATTCAAGAGGAAACCTGCCACCTTGCATTCTTACTCCTCATCACCGATTTCTGACTCTGACTCCTCCTCCCCCAGAACAGCTGGTTATCTACCAGGTTGGCTTGATTCCGAGTCAGTACTACCGGGTCCTGGGGAACAAAGACTTGGATGGGTTTAAGAGCCTGACATTCCTGGCTGTCATGCTTATCGTTCTCAACTCCATGGTAAGGTCTTGTCTTCTCTCTGTGTCTCTCTTCCTCTCCAGCCTAGTATGAGTGGAACACCACTGGGACTTAGCCACCAGGAAGCAAGAACCAAGCTGTGGGTGTATGTTCCCTCCTTTTCTAGGAACTTGAGGGATTGTTGCCCTGAAGATTAGAATCCCAGGAAGGGTATTGATCCTGCTGTTGGGACCCCTTCCTCAGAGGTTTCAAGCTCTGAGGGCTAGCCATGAGGTTCTGGTTTAATTCAGCATTTAATAGAAACGATCATTGTCCCTTTCATTCCTATAACTTTTTTTTTTCCAAGAAAGTAATCCTAAATTTTATTTTTTATTGTGCTTTAGGTGAAAGTTTACAGCTCAAATTAATTTCTCATTTAAAAATTTATATGCATATTGTTTTGTGACATTAGTTGCAATCCCCACAATGTGACAGCACGCTCCCCCTTTCCAGCCCAGGTACCCTGTGTCCATTCGACCAGTTCCTGTCCCTTCCTGCCTTCTCATCCCGCTTCTGGACAGCAGCTGCCCATTTGTGCTCGTGTATCTGATTGAACTAAGAAGCACACTCCTCACATGTATTATTTTTTGTTTTATAGTCCTGTCTAATCTTTGTCTGAAGAGTGGGCTTCAGGAATGGTTTCAGTTCTGGGTTAACAGAGCATCCAGGAGCCATAGTTTTGGGGGTTCCTCTAGTCTCTGTCAGACTATTAAGTCTGGTCTTTTTATGTAAATTTGATTTCTGTTCTACATTTCTCTCTTGCTCCATCCAGGACTTTCTGTTGTGTTCCCTGTTAAGGCGGTCATTGGTGGTTCATTCCTAGAACTTTTGCTTCAGGGAGCTCAGGGTACTTTAAAACTGGTATCAGCAGCCAAAGCTGCTACTCCTCCCCCGGGGGAATGAGCCTCTGACTCAGCCTGGCACCAGGTTGCATCTCCCCAGCCCCCTCGCTCAGTTGGCTAAAGCCTGCTCATCTTTCAAGATACCTCTGCCGTCATCTCTTCCAAGTCCTCCTCAGCTTTCTCCTCCAGGTTTCCTCTCCCCTTTCTCTGTACTTCCCTAATACCTTGTGTTTGCCTCTGCTGTAGCAGTCTTCCCACCTTTGTAATTGTCTGTTTCCTTGCTAGACCGTGAGCTCATTATTTTCCTAGTACTTAAGGCATACCCAAAAAAACCAAACTCGCTGCCGTCGAGTCGATTCCGACTCATAGCAACCCTATAGGACAGAGTAGAACTGCCCCATAGCGTTTCCAAGCAGCAGCTAGTGGGTTCGAACTGCTGACCTTTTAGCTCTTAACCACTGCACCAGCAGGGCTCCATACTGGTATAGGTGCCCGGTAAATGGTGAGTGAAGGAGGGTTAGGGCTCTGCTAGGACTCAAGCCTCCTACTCTCTATCAGGCCGTGTTTCTGGGAGAAGATATTTCTCATCACACTTTGGCTTAGGGTGTGATGGGTCTTTAGTCAGTAAGTACCTGTGTAAGCAGAACCTTGCTCCAGGCTTTAGGGACAGAGGAGTAGAACCTAAATGGGATAGAAGGTAGAATTCCCAACCCCCAGAAGCTCATTAGCTTTCAGAATAAGACAGTAAAAAGAATACAGAAAGGGGCTAGAGGGCCTCCCTTTGGTATTTGCTGATGGGATGAACACATGCGTGAATCAGGAAGGAAACGTCCCCTGACTTGACGCTTTAAACAAGCAAAAGTGCTGACTGGACAGAGTAATCAGAGTGGGCGGGGCTGGTCGGCAGAGGATTTCTGCCAGCGCTGAGCTTTGAGCCCGGACTTGCTGGAAGCGTTTCTCTCCCCTCCCTTTCCGTTCCCTCCCCCACCGCACAGCTCAAGAGCTTTGACCAGTTCATCTGCAACTTGTTATATGTGAGCTGGAGGAAGAACCTCACCGAACACCTCCATCACCTCTACTTCCGGGGCCGCGTGTACTACACCCTCAATGTGCTGCGGGATGACGTCGATAACCCGTAGGCGCCAAACCACCCCTACCCCCCATCTTTGCTACCCTCTGCGTGGCCCTGGCCATCTGGCTTAGCCCTAGAGAATCCTGGTGGCAGACCCATGGAGATCACCTCCAGTCTTTATGTGCGAATGTTACTACCCAGAGCCATGGGCGCAGGGTTGCTCTGCAGAGGCCCTCTGGAGAGGCTGCAAGGCCGAGGCTAGGGAGCTGAAAAGAAGGGACCAGGGCTCTGGGGGCAGCTCCCTTTTGTCCATTTTTTGTCCTGGGATTTCAAATAGGGTACTCTCTGAGGAAAGGGTCCTTGCCAGAAGAGCTAGAAAACCAGTTCTGGGGTTTTCAGTCCTGTCTAGGTCTCCGACTAGGGTTCAAATCCCCATTCTGTCACCTCCCAGCTTATAGCTCTTAAATTCACTAAGCCCCAGGTTCCCCTTCTGTAGAATGGGGATGATAATAGTTCCTGTAAAATGGTGGGATTCTCGTTATGTACGTGGTCCCGTGCCTGGCACATAGCAAGTGTTCCAGTGTAAGTTAGCTATTATTTTACAGGTGAGGAAGTGGAGGCCCAGAGATTGCAAGTGACTTACCCAATGTCACATCTCTCGTTGGGAGTAAGAGGAGTCAGTGTAGCTCTGGTGGTGGGATGGGACATATGGGGTCTGTCTTCCACACTCCCATCCCCTCCTCACTCACCACCCTCCCAGAAAACACTTTGGTGTTTAGGGTTACCTCTCCCCTGCTCAAGCTGAGCTTTGCAGCAAAGATTCTCGGCAGGCTGCTGCTTCTCCTTACTTCCCCTTCTAGGCATCTTCCCCATGGCTCTACCCACACGAAGCTTCTGCATCCAGATAGCTAAAATGGGGGCAGGCACACGTAGAAAAATTGGGGAGGATAGAGATAAATGGCACAGCTTTCCTGATCTTACAGATCAACTCATCCACCCCCAAGTTTTCCCCTAGTGCTGGACCTTTCAGTCCCCTCTTTACTGAGTAGTAAACTGAGGCACCATAAGAAGCCACTCTCCAGAACCCTGTTTAAAGCTCCTAAGGGTCTCACTGCCTCTGGGAAATCAGCCTTGTCTGGGTCCATCTTGCCACAGGCTCATTCAGATAAGAGGTCATGTGAAACTCTTGGCTCTCTCTACCCCCTGAGCCCAGCTCCCTGGGTCCAGTTACTCCATGTTGTTGGCTACAGGGACCAGCGCATCAGCCAGGATGTGGAGCGGTTCTGCCGGCAGCTCAGCAGCATGGCCAGCCAGCTGATTGTCTCCCCCTTCACCCTCATCTACTACACGTATCAGTGCTTCCAAAGGTAAAGCTCTCCCCCTCCCAGGGTCCCTCCTCCACCTTGGCTTAGTGTTTCCCCAGAGGTCACTCGCTCACATGTTGGGCTGAGTCAGCTGTCAGGTTAGGGTCCAGGAGAGGCTTGTCTTCCCTCCCTCCCATCTACATCCCAGGAATTCTTCCTGTCTTGCATGCCCGGGTCCCTGCCCTCCCTTTGGCCCCATGGTGTTTGTCACGGAGATCTTGGTGCTCTGACAGCTTAGACCAGGTACCAGATGTCCCCATGCAGGAGTCCCACACAGCTGCTAAGGTGGGACAGGGACTACCTGGGCGGGGGCAGGAGGCAGGGCTGAGGTCTCCCTGTCTCTCTCTGGCTTTCAGCACAGGCTGGCTCGGGCCTGTGAGCATCTTCGGGTATTTCATCCTGGGGACCATGGTGAACAAAATTTTGATGGGCCCCATCGTGGCAAAGCTGGTGCAGCAGGAGAAGCTGGAGGGGGATTTCAGGTGTGTCTCTTGCTTGAAGTTTCTGTGCTGGGCATATGGTTAAGGGCAGGGGTCTGGAGAAAGACCACCTAGGTTCCAATCCAAGCTGTGTGATCTTGGGCAAGGTCCTTAACCTCACTAAGCTTCAGTTTTCTCACCTCTAAAGTGAGGATGATGCTGTGCCTACTTAGAAGATTGTTGTGAGGATTAATGAGATTATACCTGAGAGGCTCTGAGAACAGTGGGTAACCGTCATCATCATCATCATCCCTCGGCCTTCTCACGTGCTCCTGGTTCAACCACCCTGTTTTGGGTCACTTTGGGCCTGGAAGCTGGTGGGTTCAGCCCCTGTTCCATGCTTCTTGGCCTCCTCCTTCAGGCCGGGCCCTGGGAGGATGAGGTGCTGTGGGCAGGGAGTACCTTCCCTCTCTGGGGAAAGTTGAAGGCAGGCCCTGTTTCTAGAGCTCTTGCTGCCCCCTCCACCCAGACCCTGGGATGTCCCACCCCTGTAGCATTCCAGGGGTAGGGTTGGGCCAAGGCAGCCAGTTTTGAGGTGGAGGTGGGCTCCTCTTTGTCTGAGGGCTTTGATGCAGCACTCTGAAAGAAGAGGGGCCAGTCCCTGTCATCAGCACGTTTCCCATTGGTCTGTCCAGGTTCAAGCACATGCAGATTCGGGTGAATGCTGAGCCTGCTGCTTTCTACAGGTAGGTCAGGTGGAGGCTGCTCCTCTTGTCTTATCAGAGCTGAGAGTGGAGGCAGTGGAAAAGGAAGGGTGAATTCTGCAACGCTCCCGCCACCGCCAGGTTTTGTCCCTGAGCCTAGGGCTGAGTGTTCTCGCACTTGGTGTGCCCCTGCCCCTGTACCTCTCTGTACTTGTCTCCCTCAGGAGACAGAGGGTTGGTTCTGAAGCTGGTGGGCCTCTAGTGGCTGGCTTTAGTCTTAGTGGACTGGGATAGGCCCTAAATTTGTTCAGAGAATAAAATGAATGAATCCGTTATCTTGCTGGTGACTGTGCGGCATTTCCTCTGCCTCTGCTTGTCAGTCTGTCAAATGGCTTTCTGGCAGTGCCTGAGGTCAAGGTTGATCCTCCCTCTCTAGCATGGGAAGGGATGGGAGCCTCTTAGAGAAGCATAGGAGACCTGCTCCTCACAAATACTTTCCAGGTGAGCCAAGTGGCCTCCTGACATCAGCGTCGGGAAATCCCTTCCCTTACCTCCAGGGCTTGACCTTGGCTTGGTGTGAGGCCTCTGGAATCGGTGTTTGGAATGATAGCACAGGCCCCAGATGTTTGTGTTTAAGTTGTGGAAGTGACTCCTTAGATCACCTGTATGCTGGGTGGATCTAATAGCCCTGGGACCTTTGTTTGCGGTTTGCAGCTGCCACCACTTGGGGGCACCAAAAATACTAGGACTCGGGTTTGGTTGGGGCTGGGTAGGGCTGGGCATGTGATAAGTTTGCTTTTGGAGTCTGCAGCTTCTGCTCATAAAGCTCTAGCCTCTGGGAAAAGCAGACAGGTTTTTCTGCAGCTTCTGTGTCCCTATCTGTAAAATCTGACAGCCTCCCCTAATGCCCCTCTCTCCCTCCGGCCACCTTTTCTAGTGGAGAATTTCTGCCATCCTTGAAGCCCCAAGTCATTTCCCCCAGGGGAGCTTTTCCAGATTCCCTTGGTGGTCAAGGCCTGTCTGTTGCCATAGCCCTGAGGACATGTTTCTGGTATAACACTTTCCATACTCCAGGGGAGAATGCAGTGCATCTGCCTGCCTGTCCCAACCATGAGCCTCGCAAGCACAGGCACTGTTCGATCCACCTCTTTATTCCACTAGCTAACTAGCACAGGAGTCCCTCGGTAGTGCAAATGGTTCACGTGCTCAGCTGCTAACCAAAAGGTAGGAGGTTGGAGTCCACCCACAGTGCCTCAGAAGAAAGGCCTGGTGACCTGCTTCTGAAGATTCAGCCACTGAAAGCCCTATGGAGCACAGTTCTACTCTGACACACATGGGGTCGTCATAAGTTGAAATTGACTTGATAGCAACTGGTTTTAACTCGCGTAGAGCCTGGCACGTAATGACCACTTTGTGTATATTTGTTCAATAACAGCAGGGCCCCTTATGTGCCTGGCACTTTGTATTCAGTAACTCTAATGCTCACTCTAACCTGTTACATGGAGTCCCTGGTTGGCACAAACAGTTAAGCACTCGACTACTAGCCAAATGGTTGGTGGTTTGAACCTACCCAGAGGTGCCTCAGTAATCTGCTTCCAGAAGGTCACAGCCTTGAAAACCCTTTGGCGCAGTTCTCCTCTGCACATGTGGGATCGCCAGGAGTCGGAATCAACTCAGTGGCAACTAAGAGCAACAGTCTGTTACATAGGTATTATGAGCTCCATTTTACAGATGAGAAAACCGAGACTCAGAGGCTTAAGTAACCTATCAGCATTGCCCAGCTAGTAACTGGCCAGAGCCAGGATTTTAACAAAATCTGTCCAGCTCTAGAGTTCATGTTCTCTTGCACACAATACACTAAGAGATGAATGAAGCAATGAATGGGTGCTAGCAGCACAAAGGGTCTGAGGCTACGGTCATCTGGATGGGCTTGGTCCCTAAAGAGGGTGTGCTGAGGCGCAAGGGGTCCTCCAGCCTGGCTTAGGCTCTGCTGGCTACATAGACATCCTAGCCTTTCTCGTCAGAGCTGGGCACGTGGAGCACATGAGGACGGACCGCAGGCTGCAGAGGCTCCTGCAGACCCAGAGGGAGCTGATGTCCAAGGAGCTCTGGCTGTCCAGTAGGTGGAGGGAGCCTGGCTCCCAGGGCCCTGGAGGTGGGAGCCATGGGATGGGGTAGTCCCCTTCCCTCCCCACAGCTCCCTACTTCCTCTCAGCTCCTATCACTTTTCTCTGATGGAGTCACCAGGGAGCCACTGCCTTTGCCGTAAGCGCTCTCAGGAGGAGGACCCAGGGACTAGCTTGACCCCCTTGGCTTCCTGCTCCCCATGCCAAGAGTTGTACCCCGTGCAGAGCACATGAGTGGTCTGGGTCTCTTATGCAGTCTGTCTTCTACAGTCGGCATCAATACATTTGACTATCTGGGCAGCATCCTGAGTTACGTTGTCATCGCAATCCCCATTTTCAGTGGGGTCTATGGAGACCTGAGCCCCACAGAGCTTAGCACTCTGGTCAGCAAGGTGAGAATCCCTCCCGGTGACTCCTCAGGTGTGCCCCTCTGCCCTTTGGCCCAGCGCCCAGGGCCGAGGCCTGCACTGACGGCCCTTGTCTTGTCCAGAATGCCTTTGTGTGCCTTTACCTCATCAGCTGCTTCACCCGACTCATCGACCTCTCCACTACGCTGTCGGACGTGGCGGGGTACACGCACAGGTGAGGCCGCATCCAGCCCCTCCCTAGTCCCTGAGCAAAGTGTGTGTCACTGGAGAAATAGTTGAATGATAAAAGGAACAGAAAAACGCTCTATACGCTAGTGGGCATGAGACAGGAAAAGGAGCATGACCTTTACCTAGGCCCCCAGACCCTGCCTCAGGTTTTCATTTCCTGCCGCCCAGGATTGGGGAACTGCAGGAGACCCTGCTGGACATGTCCCTGACGTCGCAGGACTCTGAGAACCTGGACGAGAGCGAGTGGGACTTGGACAAGTGAGTACTGGGCTGGTAGTGGACTATAGTAGTTGAGAATGCGGGTCTGGAATCAGCCAGCTGGGTTCGCCCTAGAGCCCTGCCCTGTCCCAGCCTCATGGCAGAGTTGCTGTGAGGATTAAGTGAAAGAAATCTGCATCTTGTGAGGACACATTATAAGTGCTCACAGACAATGTTGCTGTTCCAGCATCCAGTGTGTTCTTTTACGTTACTCCCCCAGCTGATGGAAGCAGAGCACACACATGCCTTCTGCCTGGGCCTGGATACAAAACAAAAATCTGAATAGTATTTGTCCCACCTCTTCCTTCTCCTCCTGCTGAGCCCTGACGCCTGCCTTTCCTCACCACCACCACCAGTTGCCGTTGAGGTGATTCTAACTCGTGGCAACCCCATGTGTGTCAGAATAGAATTGTGCTTCATAGGGTTTTTAATGGCCGATTTTTTGGAAGTAGATCACCAGGCCTTTCTTCCAAGCCACCTCTGGATGGACTGCAACCTTTCATTAAGTAGTCAAGCATTTTAACGGTTTGCAACACCCAGGGACTCCTTGCTTTTCCTCAGGTCGTGTCTATTCTTGGTTCCCCACACCTCACTCAGACCCAGAGATGTCTTTTTTTTTAAATTGTACTTTAGATGAAGGTTTACAGAGCAAATTAGTTTCTCATTAAACAATACATATAGTGTTTTGTGACGTTGGCTGCCAACCCCGCAACATGTCAACACTCTCCCCTTCTCGACCTTGGGTTCCCCATTTCCATTTGTCCGGCTTTCCTGTCCCCTTCTGCCTTGTCATCCTTGCCCCTGGGCTGGTGTCCCCATTTAGGCCCATATACATGGTTGAGCTATGTGGATTATTGTTTGTTTTATGGGCCTGTCTAATTTTTGGCTGAAGGGTGAACCTCAGCACTGACTTCAGTACTGAGTTAAAAGTGTGTCCAGGCACCATACTCTCAGTATTTCTCCAGTCTCTGTCAGATCAGTAAGTGTGGTGTTTTTTTTTCTGTGAGTTTGAATTTTGTTCTACCTTTTCCTCCAGCTCTGTCCAGGACCCTCTATTGTGGTCTCTGTCAGAGCAGTCTGGTGGTATGCTGGGCAGCATCTGGTTGTGCTGGACTCAGTCTGTTGGAAGCTGTGGTAGTTGTGGTCCATTAGTCCTTTGGACTAATCTTTCCCTTGTGTCTTTGATTTTCTTCATTCTCCCTCGCTCCAGATGGGATGGGACCAGTGGAGTATCTTAGGTGGTTGCTATCTTAGTCATCTAGTGCTGCTATAACAGAAGTACTACAAGTGGATGGCTTTAACAAAGAGAAATTTATTCTCTCATAGTCTAGTAGGCTAGAAGTCCGAATTCAGAGTGCCAGCTCCAGAGGAAGGCTTTCTGTCTCTGTCGGCTCTGGAGGAAGGTCCTTGTCATCAGTATTGGTCTAGGAGCTCTCAGTGCAGGGACCCCGGGTCCAAAGGACACACTCTGCTCCTGGCGCTACTTTCTTAGTGACATCAGGTCCCCTGTCTCTCTGCTTCATTCTCTCTTTTATATCTCAAAAGAGATTAACAAGATACAGTCTAATCTTGTAGATTGAGTCTTGCCTCATTAATATAACTTTCTCTAATCCTGCCTCATTAACATCGTAATAGAGGTAGGATTTACAACACAGGAAAACCGCATCAGATGACAAAATGGTAGACAATCACACAGTATTGGGAATCATGACCTAGCCAGGTTGATAAACATTTTCGAAGGACACAGTTCAGTCCATAACAGCCACTCACAAGCTTTTAAGACCTCAGATGCTACTCACCAAAGTAGGATGTAGAACATTTTCTTTATAAACTCTGTTACGCCAGTTGAGCTGGATGTCCCCCGAGACCGAGATGTGTGTATCCGTTTATCTTTGCGTGCTCTGTAACATTTCCGACCTTCCTGTAGATGCGGGGTTTGTTTCATCTCCTCACTTTTCTTGGGAAAATCCTTAACTTTTCTGTGTCTCAGTTTCTTTATCTCTAAAAAGGGGAGTCCCTGGGCGATGCGTACGATCAGTGTGCTTGGCTGCCAACCAAAAGGTTGGAGGTTCAGGTCCACCAGAGGCACCTTAGAAGAAAGTCCTGATGATCTGCTTTCAAAACTTCAGCCACTGAAAATCTGTGGGGCCCAGATCTGCTATGACGCATATGGGGTGCCCGTGAGTTGGAATCTACTCAATGGCAACTACTTTTTTGGTTTCTTTTCCTCTTAGGGTTGTTTTAAGGATTAAATATGATAGTCCATGAAAAGTGCCTAGACAATGTCTGATGACACAGTAAACTTTCCAAAAAAATGGAAAGAGTCTGCATTCCAAGACCTACATTCTGTTCTCTCTTCTTAGAACTAATGCAATGGTATTTCCACAGGAGGTGTTTCTCCTTCTGGGCATCACTTCTGGATTGGGGGTGGAGGTGGGGCACCTACTGTACCAGGCTGAGCAAAGCCTGTACATGACTGATCTTAGTTCCTCCTAACACCCGTGATTCACAGATATTCTCATTTGGCAGATGAGGAAACCAAGAGTCAGATGCTAAGTAACTTGCCCAAAGTCTCAGAGCAGTAAGGAGCAAAGCTTCTCTCCCCCATTCTCTCCCCTTCTCTGACCTCAGGGCCCCGGAATGGCCAGCAGAGCCCGCAGACACAGCTTTTTTCCTTGAGCGGGTCTCCATCTCTGCCCCCTCCTCTGATAAGCCCCTAATCAAGGACCTGGGCCTGAAGATCTCCGAGGGCCAGAGCCTGCTCATCACGGGCAACACAGGCACTGGCAAGACCTCGTTGCTGCGGGTTCTGGGCGGTCTCTGGGCGAGCACACGGGGTAAGAACCACCTCTGCCCCTGCCCCAGCCTTGACCCTGGGAGGGGGAGGGCAGTGTGGTGGAATCCTGCAGTTTTTGTTGGGGAAACAGGATAATGAGGCAGAGAGAAGAGGAGGGGGGCAGTTACCTTCTCTGGGAGATCTCAAGCTAGAGGTTTCTGTGGGCCTTGCAGGCTCAGTGCAGATGCTGACAGACTTCGGACCCCACGGGGTGCTTTTCCTGCCACAAAAGCCCTTCTTCACTGACGGGACCCTCCGAGAGCAGGTCAGCCAGGTTTGGGGCCCCTCCTCCCCTTCCCTTCCATCCCCATCCTCTCACAGCTGGGCCCTCTGGCAGTGTGGTTGCTGGCGGTCTCAGACTCTAAGGAGTTATGGGGCAGAGGGTGGGGTGAAAATGTCCCCTGCCAGGGACCCCCTTGATTCGAAGAACACTGCATTCAGCACCCATGGATTGGGCCTGTGTACTCGGAGGAACTTCTGGGGCTGCAGGCCAGAATCACACCTGTTTGCTGAGTACCAGTGTTGGATTCTGGGGCCCCTTTCTCCCAAATACTTCTGAAGGTTGCAGTGACCATGTCCCAGCATCTGCCAGCCGCCAGCCTCTCCCATGGACCCTTAGGCCAGGGTGTTCCCTGGTGTCCTCGGGTGAAGTGGAGCCTGGCCTCTCTGGCGGTTCCTGGGGTGTTTCTCGGGGAGGGTGTGCTTGTGTGCTGACCCACCTCTCACTGGCCTTCCTCCTAAGCCAAGGCGGTTTTTATTTTATCAGGTGATTTATCCCCTGAAGGAGATCTATCCAGACTCAGGTGAGCTAGAGCCTCCTTAGGTCATGTCCTCTCATCTCAGTTGTCCCTGCGCTGCCTGACTGTGGCCTCACATGTGCCTTTTGGGAGAGACCCCAGCCAGCTGCTGGCTTCAGGTCGGGTCCCCTCCTCCTCCTCCGACTGTGTACTATTTTGGGGTCTGTACCCTTACCTCATCTTCCTCTGTCATCCCCTCCTTGAGCAGAGACACCTGTGGGAGGAAGGAAGGTAATGATCTCCTTCCTTATCTCACCCGGCCCTTCCCTTCTGATGGCCCTTATCAGCTGCTGTGATGTGCCACATCTGTGTATCGTTTGGTTACCCAGAAGGAGGTGGTCACTTGAAAAAGCCTTCTCTGTTTTGCAGGTTCTACTGATGATGACAGGATCATGAGGTTCTTGGAGTTGGCAGGCCTGGTAAGTGGAGGCAAGACCCTGAGATCCAGAGCCCACTTGGTAGCACCCATCTGTCACTTCCCAGCCACAGGTGCTGGCACAAGCAGAGGCTGTACTGTCTGGACCCAGGACTGGAAGTATGAGCCTGGGGCAGGGGGCACGGGAGTACAAAGTTGGAGGGCAAGGGCGAAGGCAGTGGGGGATGTTGGCCGGATACAGGTGATTAGGGGATGTGATCTCTGTAGAGAATTTTCAAACAATAGCAAAGCTGACTACGTCAGTCTGCTGTTATTGTCACCGTGCTCTAGCAATTCTAAACAAAGCAGTTCATAGCATACCCCCCTCCCGCCTCCCACCCACAGGGGTGTGTATCTGTCTCAGAGGCATGAGTGTGGAAGGGCTGGGAGAGTGCCTCAGGGTGGCAGGAAGCAGGGATGGGCCCTTTCATGGACATCGTTCCTCTGGGTCTGTTACAGTCCAGCTTGGTGATAAGGACAGGGGGCCTGGACCAGCAGGTTGATTGGAACTGGTAAGAATGGGGTTGGGGTGCTCTTGAGACAGCTCCCTTGCCAAGGCAGTGGGTCCCAGGGGCCCACCAGGAGTGGAGATGACGCCTGACCCTAAAGCCCAGGTGTTTGGATGGTCTGTTGAGGGCATGTTTTATGCCCTCAGGAGCAGAGTTTGGGCCTCACCTGTGTGGGCAGTGGGGCTGTGGTTTAACGTAGAGTGATTGACATCCATCTGTCTGCAGAGAGAACCTCTTGCTCACACCCATTCTAGGCAGAGGCCAAGCTCTGTCACTTCAGAGCCTTAGCCCAGCATTGTGGGGCTTCAGCGGTCACCTGTCATTCCCCTTTCTCAGGTACGACATTCTCTCTCCAGGGGAGATGCAGAGGCTCTCTTTCACCCGGCTCTTCTACCTGCAGCCAAAGTATGCAGGTGAGGACCGCCCTGCAGGTGCATGTGCCAGGCGCTGCGTGTGCCCACCGGTGGAGTGGCATGTGTTCATGTGCTCCTAGGCAGGTGTGCATGTGGGTAAGAGAGCACACCTGTGCATGGCTGGGCATCTCTGTGTACCCTGCAGGGGAGGCCCTCAGTCCTCCTTCCCTGCCCTATGCCGAGCTGGTACTGTATCACAAGCCCCATGGCAGGGCTTGGCCCACGAGGCAGTGGTGCTTGGCACCCTCCAAGCAGCTCTGGTTATGTTACAATACAATTTGTAACTTCCCTGCCATTGCAGCAGCTGGGGCCAGGGAGCCAGCCTGAGGGGTTGTAGTTTTATGGCCCTCAGGCTGTGCCATCAGATGAAGGGGCATCCTCCCAGCTGTGCCTGGCAGAGGGGTGGCCAGTGTTGGCCTTTCCAAAGGCCAGCAGCCTTGGGGGAACTGACTCCCTGGGTGGAGTGGTCCCAAGGGGTGGTCGGTGCCTATCCACAGAAAGCTGAGGGATATAGTCCTGCTGCTGGTGGAAGGATTCCCAGATAGGGCCTGGCACCTTTGGCCTATCCTTCCTCGAGGCAGGGCTTCTGTCAGCCAGACCATTGCTCAGCCTGCCTTTGTGTCCCCGTGTGGGCTGGAGGAGAAGCAGAGGCAGGTGGCAGGCAGGGCTTTGATCTCTTCCTGCACGTTCTGCCCTCAGTGCTTGATGAAGCTACCAGTGCCCTGACAGAGGAGGTGGAGAGTGAGCTGTACCGTATCTGCCAGCAACTGGGGATGACATGCATCAGCGTGGGGCATCGGCGCAGCCTTGAGAAGGTACCCATGCCCGTGAGGAGGCCTAAGGAGGAGAAGGAAGAACTCAAAGGCTGGGCATGGCAGGGGCCAGAGGCTCCTCAAATGGGGATAAGGGGTGGCAGAGAGGGCAGAGGGCCGATGGGCTCCTGGTCTCGCGGCCAGGGCAGCCTGACTTCTGCATGGTGGTGGTCTCTTATAGTTTCATTCCTGGGTTCTGAAACTCTATGGAGGAGGCAGATGGGAGCTGACCAGAATCAAAGCAGAATGAAGTCAAGGATGCAAACGGCCACCAGAAGGAGAGCCAAGCTCCGGCAGGTTGGGCAGTTCCCAGGAGAGACCGGACAGACTGACCAGGGAAGGAACGAGCCCAGGTTCGCCTCACAGGTCCTGTGTAGGGGGTGCAGGCAGCAGTGGGCTCAGCCTGATGTGGGCCTCCATGGGGCATCCAGCCTCTGCCAGGGCTCGTCCTGCTGCCTCAGCTGGACCCTCCGTGTACGAAGTGCTTATTACTTACAAGTTACTTCAGATCGTGTTTTCTAAAGAAAATCTGAACATGTGGGATCTATAAGAAATGAAGAGTCAAAGTGGAAAGGGAATTGGAGTCAAGAGATCCTGGAATCTTTTGCTCTTAAATCAGTTAAATTTTGCAATAGTAGATTTTTAACTGTAATTGACTGACTAAATTTTATAACTTTTTAAAAAACAATTTTAAAAATTTAAAAAAAAATTGTTTTTGCAGTTTTTCCTTTCTGTCGTCTCTATTATAGAATGATCTTTTTAATTGAATCTCCAGACTTGTATTTGAGAGCCTGGAGGGAAGGGAGCAGCACTCTCTGCTATTCTGGAACCTTCTATGCATGGTTTTTCACTTCATTTTGCATCTCCCTCTTCTCCTTTTGTTAGTTGAGTAACTGAGCTACTAACCTCTAGAGCCCCAATGTTTTTCCTGTCTTAACCCCAGATAGAAATAAATCTCTTTTCCCTTAGTCAGCTAAAATAAATTTGGAATTAAAAAAAAAAAATCTATATTAGGGAACAACAATAAATTAAACAGACAAACCCCAGAAAGCACAAAAGCATGGAAAGTTATTGGCTCTAGAACAGTGTTCCCCAAAGTTCAGTTGTCCGCATGCCACCTTCATGACCTTTGTCAGCTGTGTGTACTGCTTGTACTGTTAACTGCTTTTAATATTTTCTTTAAATCAACTCACTTTTTAAAATTTAAATGTATCTTTTAAGCAAATGTATTTTAAAAGAAATTTTACACTTGACATAAATAAAAAGTATGTGAAATAGATAGAAATTTTATCCTTGTTCATTTCATCGCTCTTCGGAAGAGCGGGGGCTGTAGGGTAGGGCAGAAAAGTAATCTTTCATCATCTTCATCAAGCATCTGCCCACTATATCAACATGTATCATAAAGGTGCCTCAAACCCAACATGTCTAAAAGTGAACTGATCTTTCCCCAAAGCCTTTTCTTGTGTCCGCTATCCGTACAGCTGCCTGAGCCAGAAATCTAAGTCGTCCTGAATGCACCCCCTCATCCTTTTACCCAGTCCATCACCAAGTTCTGTCAGTTTTACCCTGTAAGTAGACTTTCATCCATCTGCTTTTCTCCATCTTTTTTAATCCTATCTGGAATAAACTTAGGACAGAGGTAGAAAGGTGAGAAAATAACCACAAGGAGAATCAAGGAACAGGAGACTGGTGGCATCTGCACTCTGAAGAAGTGTTAGGAGGCAGCCTAAGCCCCGTCATTTGGGGAATGTTAGGAATTGGTGGTATAGCCACACTACGGATTAGAATGCAACCTTGAGAGCAAAGGCACAGTAGTTATTTATTCATCAAATAATGACTGAACACCTTGTATGAGACATTCTTCTAGAGTCCTGGCTTACAGTGGGGAACAAGGTGGACCTGGTGCCTCCCTCATGGAGCTTACAATCTAGGTGAATCTGAAGGCCATAAAGCAACGTAGAAAAATGCTTGTGATTTAACCTCAATTAGAAAAGGTTTACAGAATTATATATATGTTGTAATACTGTAGAAAGTCGTCTAAAGCCACCTCTAGAATTGAATGATTGTAGCATTCCCCAAAACACCAAATACAAAACCACAAAAGAATATTATGGAATTTTGCCAAAGGGTTTTTGGGGTTGTGGGGGATTAAATTGCATGCTACAAAGCAAAACTTCTTTAAAATCCCCATTATCCATGTTCATTGCAGCATTATGCCCAATAGCAAAAACATGGAAACAACCTAAGTGCCCATCAACAGATGAATGGATAAACAAATTGTGGTACATACAACAAAGAGCAATGAATTCATGAAACATCTCACAACATGGATGAATCTGGAGGGCATTATGCTGAGTAAAATAAGTAAATCACAAAAGGATAAATACTGCACGAGACCACTATTATAAAAACCCAAGAAAAGATTTACACACAGGGAAAAAAAAAAATCTTTGACGGTTAGAGGTGGGGAGGAGAAGTCATAATTAGATAGTAGACAAATGTTAACTTTGGTGAAAGGCAAGACAATACACAACATGGGGGAAGTCAGCACAGCTTGACCAAGGCAAAGTCATAGAAGCTTCTTAGACACATCCGAACACCTTGAGAGCCTGAGTTACTGCGGCTGAGGGCTAGGAACCATGGTCTTGGGGGACATCGAAGTCAATGGCATAACATAGTTCATAAAGAAAATGTTTTACATCCTACTTTGGTGAGTAGCATCTGGGGTCTTAAAAGCTTGCGAGCAGCCATCTAAGATACATCTATTGGTCTCAGCATGTTCAGAGCAAAGGAGAATTAAGAAAACCAAAGACACGAGGAAAATATTAGTCCAGAGGACTAATGGACCACCTAAACGACAGCCTCCACCAGCCTGAGCCCTGAAGAACTAAATGGTGCCTGGCTACCACCACCAACCCCTCTGACAGGGATCACAAAAGAGGATCCTGGACAGAGTGGGAGAAAACTGTAAAACAAAAGTCGAATTCCAAAAAAAAAAAAAAAAAACAGACTTACTGGTCTGACAGAGATGGGAGTAACCCCCGAGACTGTGGCCCCCGGGCACCCTGCTATCTCAGAACTGAAGCCACTCCTGAAGTCCACCTTTCAGCCAAAGATTAGACAGGCCTATAAAACAATAACACACACAAGGAAAGTGCACCTTAGTTCAGTCGGGTATACGAGAACAAATAGGGAACACCTGACCCAAAGCAAAGACAAGAAGGCAGGAAGGGACAGGAAGACTGGACAAATGGACATGGGAAACCCAGGGTGGAAAGGGAAGGGAGGAGAGTGCTGACACAATGCAGGGATTACAACCAGTGTCACGAAACAATCTGTGTATAAATTTTTGAATGAGAAAATTTGTGCTGTAAACTTTAATGAGAAACTCATTTGCACTGTAAACTTTCACTGAAAGCACAATAAAATTTAAAAAAATCCAGTTCTCCAGGTATAGAATAGGTAGTTAATAAATATTTATTGATTTGAGTGAATGGATAACTGAATTATGAATAAATAAATAAATAAATAAAAGGGGAAAAATGCTTAAATGGCAGCGTGTACCTCAGGGGAGTGCCATCGGCAAGAACCATGACGTTCCACTGAACTTGGAAACAAGTACTTTGTCATTAACCTGATGTATAATTTATGTGAGCAAAAATGTCTCCTCCCTTTCAAAATCAGAGAAGTGCACGCTCCCCCCTCCACAGAGAAATTCTCTTCCTGTAATGGTTTAACTTCTGTTTTGACCCAGAGCGCATTTGAAAACACTGTCCCTAAGTTGGATGAGCTCTACCGCCAGACCTCCTGCCAACAGCGAGCTGTTGTGTTTCTCGGGGGAGCCTGGAAGAAGGGCTGTTGTTTCTCCAGTCACTCAGCCTGATGCATTTTAACCAGCATCATTAGCCCCACAGGTGTGACCAAGGCTTTCAACCCTCTGGTTGGCCAATCTGGAGAAACCTCGAAGTTCAAGGACCCAGAAACAGGCCAAGTCTGTATCCTAGGGTGTTTGGCTTCCTAAGGCCCCAGGACCCTTCCTCCACCTCACAGACTCACTGACTTCTCACTACTCAAGCGTCACTTGTGTTGCTCTTTGTCTTGGAGTAACCTAGTGTCCAAATTCGAGAGCATCTTAACATAATGAGGCAGCTTCTCCTCTGCACTAGCTCAAGTCACTGCAGTGACCCGGAAACAGCTTTGGCAACCTATCCGTCTTGTCACCTGCAGAATCAGGTATCTGCTCTCCTTCCTCAGGGCTCCACCACGCTCAGGGCCTATCCCACCGTTGCTTCCACTTATGCCACTTTACTGGCCTCACATGGAAAACTTCTGCAGAGAAAGGATTCAATTTGCCAGCTAACCTTGTCCCAACACAGAGTGCCCTATTGGTCAAAATTATTGCGCCAGGTCAATTGGAAGGCCATCACTTGGCCTATAAACTGGTTCTAAATGTCTAATACAGGCAAATTGTTCAATAAATTCTTATAGTCACCTAATCAAATATTGGTGCCATTTAAAATAGTCATAACTTAATAATGCATGAAAATTATAATTAAAAGATTCATATATTACATAATTAATGTTACATAGCCATAATAAGGAGTGGGTGGTATAAAATTATGTACACAGGTTGCCTAGAACTAAATGTTTTTAATACTATGCTTAAAGAAAGAAGGGCTAGAAGGCAACACACCAAAATGCTAAGTGATTGTGTTGGGTTTATGTAAAGTTTCCTTATATCAATTTTATAATGAAAATAAACTGCCTAATGATCGTGTCTGCTCCCTAATTCAATTCATGGTTTGCCTGTATTAACAAGGTTGCTGGCTCCTTTGGGGTACTATGGTATAGACGTATAATGTATCATTACAATTTTCTTTCTGAAGCTTTTATAGCATAATCATCTGTTTACATGTAGCAGTATTCTGGGGGGAAATCAATCCAGTTAAATATTTTCCCTTCTGAAACTGTGCCACACTGTCTAGTTTTGCTCCCACAACTGGGACACTGGAATCTCCTTTCAGTGGCTGCTGAACCTACAAGTATAAAGTCAGCGTTTTTCCATGCCATCTGCTGCACACTCTCCCAGATTCAACGACTCAATACGAGAAATACAAAGTTGCTGTGAATTGCCAGAGGTGGGTGTTAGTGTAATAACAATCTGGTGGCAGCAGAGCCAAGAAAACGGTAGCTTGTTCCTATAGTTGGGGTGTAGCAACTGCTGGATTGGAACTGATGGGGGTTTTATGGATTGAATTGTGTCCTTCCAAAATGTGTGTTGTAAATCCTAACCCCTATAGCTGTGGTTATAATCTCATGTGGGAATGGATTTTCTTTGTTATGTTAATAAGGCAGTATTAGTATAAGATGTGTCTTCAGTCAATCTCTTTTGGGATATAGAAGAGCAGATTAAGCATGCAAGCAAGCACAAATGGAGGGGAAGATACATCTCACACGATCACCAAGGAGCCTAGGAATAGAACTTGAAAAGAGACAAGGACCTTCCTTCAGAGTGGACAGAGAGAGACTGACTTCCCTAGGGCTGGCACCCTGAATTCAGGTTTCTAGCCTCTTAAACTGTAAGAAAATAAATTTCTGTTTGTTAAAGCCACCCACTTGTGGTATTTATGTTATAACAGCACTCGATAACTAAGGGAGAGAGAAGCAAGGAGAGGACAAAAATGCAATAAGAGTCGTGATAGGTGACAATTTGGTCTCACCTGGAGCGACAGAGGAAGGAGAGTCAGGAACAGGAGGAAGATTGCTAACCAAAGGGTCAGCAGTTTGAATTCACCAGCTGCTCCTTGGAAACCCTTTGGGGCAGTTCTATCTGTCCTTTAGGGTCACTATGAGTCAGAATCGACAGAATGGGTTTTGTTTGGTTATGGAATGTATATCTAATTCCCTTGGTGAACAACTTTCTCCTTTGCCATGAGACCAGAAGAACTGGATGGTGCCTGGCTACCATTACTGAACATTTTGATCAAAGTTTCTCTAGAAGAATCCTGATCAAAAGGGGAAAAATGCAGAACAGAATTTCAATTTCTCATGGACTCCAGACTTTCTGGAGCCATGGAGGCTGGATGAACCCCTGAAACTATTGCCCTGAGATAATCTTTAAACCTTAAACCAAAAATATCCCCTGAAGTCTTCTTAAAACCAAACAACAGTTTAGCTTAAGTGATAACGAATGTCTGCTTTGAGCATTATGCTCGCTTAAAAACTATCTATATGGGATCAAATAGACAACAGCAACTCGAAATATTAGATAGGAACCTTAGGGGG